AAGTGAAAAAATACGCTTTGATCTGCATTCAGAGTCCATCAGTTCTTTATCTTGATGTGGATAGCATTTTCCTTCATGTCCTTTGTACTTGTCTTACATCACTGTGTTGCTGAGAAGAGCTGAGTTATTCATAGCTGATCATCACATGATGTTGCTGATACTGTGTACTATATTTTCTTGGTTCTGCTCATTTCACTTTGCATCAGTTCATACAAGTTTTTCCAGGTTTTTCTGAAATCTGCCTGTTTATAATTTCTTATTGCACAATAGTAATCCATTACATTCATATACCACAGCTTGTTCAGCCACTCCCCAATTGATGGGCGTCCCTTCAATTTCCAATGTTTTGCTACTATGAGTAGGGCTGCTATAAATATTTTTGCACATGTAGGTCCTTTCCCCTTTTTTATGATCTTGTAAAAGAATATTATTACTGTGCTGTAAAAAATGATGTATGGGATCAATACAGAGAAACAAGGAAAGATCTATATAAACTGATGCAGAGTGAAGTAAACAAAGCCAGGAAAACAATATACGCAGTAACTATATCAATATAAATAGAACCACACACCAGAATAAAGAATTAATGTGACAAAACTATAAACGATTAAGCAGTATTCAAATGAAGTGATATAAAAAGACACCCCTAATGTACCCCTCTGAGGAGGTGAGAGGTCCATAGGTGTTATACGCTGCACTTATTTTGGGGACTTTTTCAATGTGTTGATCAGTTTGCTGACTTTTTTTTCTTCTTTAAAAAATGCTATTTAAAAAAATGCTATTTGTTATATGGGATGGCTCTCTACTAGGGGTGGGAAAGGGGGAGGGACACTTAGGATAACTATGATGTAAGCAACAGAAGATATCAATAAATTAAAAAAAATTAAACATCAGTGCAACCCATTAATCTTACTTTGTATCCACTTGCATTTAACAAGATGAATTTCAACACAAAATATTCTAAATTTTCAGTCACTTGCTATATGTCTTCATCAGAATTTTTTTGTTCATTTTTTCCTATTCACTTCTCTTATGGGGTGCTAATATTGGTTCAATATATATATTTTTTAGTTTTATATTATTTCATAAAGGCTTCTCTCTATTTCTTTCTATTCCTCAAGTTTAAAGCATTGTGATGTTCCCTGGCATTCATGTACCATGATTTATTTAATCCTTCCCCTATTATTGGGCATTTAGTTATGTTGGTTGATTTTTCAAGGTTTTTGTCGTTGTTGCTGGGTCCAATGTTGACTTTTATTTCTATTACATACACCGCTCTAACCCAAACCAAAAAATCTCTGAACAGATATTTGTTCACTGAACACACCATGGAATGTTATTTCTGATAACATTCTCAGTATATCTTCCCCAAACTAAAACAATTGGGTGTTTGCTCTTCTTTTCTAATTCCTTTCCAACTCTGTGACCATGACTGTGGGCAGAGAGTGGATCGGCTCCTTAAGAGGGTTTCAGAATCAAATATTGGTCATGGAGGCAAGAAGATGGGTTCAAATCCCATCTCAAACACTTAATAGCCACGTGGCCTTGGGCAGACTTCATGTCTCTGATCCTCAGTTTCCTCATGTGTAAAATGGTGAAAGTAACAGCGTCAACCTCACAAGGTGATTTTAAAGGTGAATGATATATATTGTAAAGTTTGAAATGCTACATAAATGTGAGTTATTATTGCTGTTACTATTATTATTAGGTCCTCTCCTTAAATCAATCATTCAATGAGCACTTATTAAGTGCCTACTGTGTACCAGGCACCATGCTGACCGGTGGGGATACAAAGAAAGGCAAAAACTGTCCCTGCCCATGAGGAACTTGTATTCTAACAGAGGAGGCAAAATGTACACGTAGAGGCATATATAAGAGACATACAAAGTAGATCATAACATCATAGATTTAGAGCTGGAAAGGACTTCAAAAGGCAGGCGGTCCATTTTACGGACGGGCAAACTAAGGCCCAGGGAGATTAAGGGGCTTGCCCAACGTCAAACAGCGAGTCCGTGACCTTAGCAGGGAAGGCAAAAATAGTACTTCTGAAAAGCAGGAGCTTTTTAGGGAGATGAGAGTGCTTGCCTTTCCTTTAAGTCATCTTTAAAGAAAGAAGCCCGCCTATGGAGGTTATCCTTAATTGAGGCACACACAGAGTCCTGAAAGAAAAGAGCCTAACTCTTCAGCCCGCAAGGAACCTGTGCCTTGGGTGTGATTGGCAAAAGTCCAGGTGGTAAAGTCTCTGGTCCGGTGACTAGAGAAGAGCGTCCCTTGTTAACCTCTTTGTTCATTCTTCTTTGGAGAATGTAACCTCCCCCTGGCTAAAATTTGGCCTTCCTATAGTGTACCATGGCTGAAATCAGGCTGAAACAAATGAACATATTCCCACCATGCCAGGCCCCAAGCAACCTTCCAGATATGACAGGCCACTGTCTCTCTTATTTCCCTGTCCCCCAGAAAAGTGCAAAGAATGATTCTTAGACCATCACATGCACCCCGTTGTCCTTGGGGTATTACAACATTACATGAAAAGGGATCTCAAGCGTGAAATATTTTCCAGCAAAAGAAGCTGATGATTGCTAACATTATAGGAATACTGGGGTTTAGGGCTTTAATCACTTGGCAAATGTCAGCTCATTAATACTTCATATGGTGTCCCTGTGAGGGAAACATTAGCATATTTCTTTTCAGATGGCAGCCCAAGACATTGCCAGGAAAAGACACCATGCAAGGTAGCTTTGAGTCAGCGGTGGGGCTGAGGATATCTGCCAATGAAATACACTGTGAGCCTGGCCAGATGGGAGGTGGGGGTTGGGGGAGACCCATCAATTCACAGCTACCTGATATTAAAACTTAGGACTGCCTTCAGCTCACCCTGCAGATTTCTACTTCTTTGGTACATGGTTTCAAGGGGCATCACCAGGGTAGATGCCAGCAACCAGCCTGGTAAAGACATTGGACCAGTCCGCAAGGTCCTGTCCTGCTCCCCTGAGCTAGGTGTCAAGGCCCCTTCATCTCTGCACCCCACCCCCCTTCTCTGGGTAGCTCTGTTTCCACCTGTCACACTAGTCAGCAGACCCATCAGTCATTAACAAGGATATTTCTCTCCTCTGGGGCTGCCACCAACTTCATCTGTCTGCCTCTTTGGATTGAATTCCAGCCAAGGCATTGACAGCTTAGTTCCTCATCCCTGGGTTCACATAGACTTAGTTCCTGAAGAAAGCTATTGGTCACAGGCTCAGCGCCAAAGACATCAAGCGATTAATTGGCCCCCTTCTGTGCCCCCTGCCTCAGCCTTTCCCAAAATTGGCATTTCAGAGCTATATATAAGAATCAGACAGATAAACTAGCATTTGTAAAACACACACACATACACATATACACAGAGCATACCAAAAGTCTTAAGCTTGAACAGCTTAAAGCTGCATTGAGATGTTTGGGACAGCACACAGACACACACACACACACAAGTGTATGTATGCACATGTATATATACACACATACATGCAGGTTCATGTTTCATATAAATATATATTGCATAAATTATATATTATATATTTAATAAAATGAAATTATATCATATATAAATATATTAAAGTTATGTGATATATATGTGTGTATACATACATATATTATGCACATACACGCATGCATCCATGCATTCATACACACACATACATACATATTTCTTATAGAGTAACAGGGCAGCAAGATCCTTTGAAGTGCCTTCTCTCCCTAAACACACACAGTCAAATGGCAGCTCTATTCTTCGGCTGAACAATAGTCGTGTGGTCAATCTCCCCCAGCTCAGGCCACTCTGCTCCTCTTAAATACCCCCATCACTGCCTCACAACAAGAAGCCCGTGTGGAGCTGAACGTCCTTCCAGCGGCAATTTTAAACCTTCCTCAGCTATAACCTGCACACCCAACGAAACCATAAACTACAGCTAGCTTCATTTCCAAGGTGTGATGCCGCCATCAGATCTCCTATCTCTCCTCTCTTCTTCCCTTCAAGCCTGACGTACGATGGACCACAGACCTCAAGAACAGAAGATGTTTCCCATTTCTGCTTGTCTTCCTATAAACACATTATAAAAACCAGTGGAGCACCACCACTCACTGTTCCCTGGATGCATTTATCTCCTTAGGAAAGAAAGTAGGGTCCTTACACATCCATTCCCAGGCCATTGCTGCTAAGTCTCATAACGTGTGTCTTTTGTTCTCTGATGGGGTCATAAAAAGCATGAGCAAGGAGATTCAGAAACTTCCATTAATCTCTGTGTCATGGCGTCTCTCCTCCCTCCCCACCTTTTAAATGCCAGCCACCATGGTCAAGGGAGAGGATGGCTTCTGCTGTCATCCTAAGTTAGGCCTTCAGGAAGTGACTTCCTTAGGGTGAAGAGAGGACAGTCTACTATTATACCTATGCCAGGTCTTACCGTGACCCTGGACTGCTCTGCCCACACACCCTATAACTGGCAGGAGGTAACTGGAGAAGAAACGCCCTCAATGTCTGCCCAGTAATAATCACAGGTCTAAAATCTGGGGGTTCCAGCTGGTCCCCCATCTCCAAAATGAAGAACTGTTAGAGTAGCTAACGGTTGTAAACTATGTAAATCAAGGTTTGTTAACCTAGGGTTTGGGAACTTTGTTTAAATTTATTTTGATACCTGAATTTCAATACAATTGGTTTCCTTTGTTATCCTATGTATTTTATTTTATGCATTTAGAAAATTACTCTGAGAAGGGGTCTAGAGGGCTTCATCAGACAGCCCAAGGGCATATATATTTTATATATGTATGTATGTATATTTACATATGTGTGTATTTATACATACCTATATGTATATACACAGGTACATATATACACATGTATGTATGTTAAGAACCCCTGGTATAAGAAATCTTTGAATGAAGAAAAAAAACACAGAGTTATATATCCATCAGTCAATAAGCATTTATTAAGTGCCTACACCAGTGCTAAGCACTGGGTTTCAAGGACAAAAATAAAACAATCCCTACCCTCAAGGAGCTTATATTCTGTAAGAGAAGACAACATATACATCATGTATTTATAATGCAAGGAAATACACTTATCATGCATAAAAGACCCTCAACACATCTAAGGATTTTTCAGGTAGCAAAGGATGAAGTTCAATTTCATGATAGCAGATAAGGGATGGGGTTTTGAATCCTGATCCCCCATTATATCCGCAACTCCTTTTTATTAGAATATCAATTCAACAATTCAATGAACGTGGATTAAAGGCCTTCTATGAGCACAGCACTGCCAGGTAATAGAGATTACAAAGACAGAAAGAAACAATCCCTGCCCACAAGGAGTTTACATTCTAATGGGGAGATGCAACATGTTCCCAGATATGTAAAAACAGCAAGTACAAAGCAATTTCAGGAGCAGAAGGGCTTTAACAACTGGAGTAGGGGTCCAGGGGTAGGGAATTAGTAAAGTCTTTATCAAACTGAGACATGAATGAAGCTAGGTATTTTAAGAGGCACAGATGAGGAATGAGGGCATATTTCAGGCAAAGGAAAGAAGAGTCTGGACAAAGGTGTGGAGATGGGAGACTGCATGCCAAGTTGAGTAAAACAGCTAATAGACCAGTTTGGCTAAAATGCAGAGTGCATGAAGGGGAGGTATATGAAATAATTCTGGAAAGATAAGTTAGAGCCATAAATCACAGATTCAACCAATAAAGATCTTGGGAATCTTTGAAAGGATTAAACAAATAGAAAAATTATTTATCTATAAAGAGCTACATTTTTAGCACTTTATAGAATACAAATGTATTTTAGGAAAACTTTCACGGAAAGGCATTCTAGGAGGCTCTAGTTTAATCCGATGCTAAATGTTTTTCCGAATTTAGTCAACTAGCTTCTGATCTAAAAGGAACCTTACGGTTCATCTAGTCCAACATCTCATTTTATGAGAAGTTTCAACGCCAGGCTAAAGAGTCTTCATTTCATCCTAGAGGTGGACAGGGAAGCTCTGAACATTTCTGAGCAAGGGGGTGAATTATAAATATTAATTTGGCAGCTGTTCTGACATTGGAGTGGAGAGGAGAGAGACAGGAAGCAGGAAAGTCTAATGTAAGAGCTATTGCAAAAGTTCAAGTGAGAGTCAGTCAAATCTGGAACCAGGGCACTGGCCGTGTGAATGGACAGTAGACTGATTTGAGAGATGTCACAGAGGTAGAATAGACAAACTTGGCAACTGATTGGACAAAGGGGTGAGGGAGAAGGAGGAGCCGGGCGCGATGCTGAGGTTGCTGACCTCAGAGATTGAAGGATGGTGGCATTTTCAACAAAATTAAGGAAGTATGGAGAAAGAATGAGTTTTAGGGAAAAGAAAGGCAGGGAACAGGGAAGGGTGTTCCTCTAAACCCTGACACTGGAGGTACAACATCAATGTCAGTGATTCCAGCAGAGCCCCTAAGGGGGCAGTCCAATCAGCGTGGTCCATTCCCAAGAGGGACATCTTCTAGATGTGGTTTCTAGAACCGGAACTAGAAATAACAACTGGAAGAACAGAATGTTAGAACTGGAGGGAATGGTAGAGATCATTTAGCTCAAACTACTCATTTTATAGGAAACTGAGGCTGAGAGAAGAAGTAACCTAACACCACAGAACCAGTTAATAGCAGAGATAGCACAGAAACCCAGATATCCTGAATTCTAATCCAGGACCCTTTTGATATTCCATGCAGGCCACTTCTCCTACTATGAAGAGTTTAAAAAAAACCCTACATTTTTACAGGTTGCTTGGGAAACACCCATTTGTCATGTGGGGTACTCCAACCTTGACTGTACCATGTTGACCAACCTGTAACACGCCCAAATTAAGACAACAGACAAAAGTATATTTGGCTAGCTCAAGGAGTAATTACTCCACTTGAGAAAGATGTGAAAACAAAGATGGTGTCCCCACAGTTATTGATCCATTCCCCCCAATACAATGCATCTTGTGTACTTGTTGGGTTAACCCTTGGGATCTGTCTCCCATTTGATTTGTACCTGATTTTTTCCCACCACTTAAAGATGGTTCTAGAGTTCAGAATTTTCCCTTGTTGTTTTAAGCAACTGTTCCTCAAAATAGATGAGCTGGTCCACCTCAAAACAGTCGCTGGCTCGTGGCACCACTTTCTCCAGAGACACCCTGATCTCCTCTTCACTGGCATTCTGTCTCCTGGCCTTCTTGAGGTAGCCGTAGACAGTCTCAAACACTTCCAAGCCCAGCTTCTGAATGGCTGATCTGCACAAATAAGAGAGAAAACTGACAATCTGCACATCCCTCTAAGATATGGGGAGCTCCCTATGGACAGGACTGTTGCCTTCCATCTCTGTATCTCCAGGACCTAGAATAGAACCAAGCATATTTCTTTCTGTCCAACCTTGCAGTTTCATTGGTATGTAAGATCAGCAACTGTTCTACAGCAGATTGTCTTAGAGAGTTGTCTGAGGCACTAAAAAGTTAAGTGGCTTTTTCAGAGTCACACATTCAGAGGCAGGATTTGAACCCAGGTCTTCCTAAGTCCAGGGCCAGATCTTTGTATACTGCACTACACTGTGTTGCACATAATACGTACCCAATCAATATTTGTTCAGCTCTAACTGAAATGCCTTTGTTAACATTCATCTTTAGGGTAGCCACTGCTGGTTAATCTGGTAGATCCTTTCAAGTGACCTTAATATTCAAGCTAAATATTAATGGTGGAAATATAGATACTGACGCTGGTGGTACTACCACCCACACTAGTACAGGGGAAAGCCTAGCACTCAGCACAGTGCCTGGGAAAGACCATTTAGTTCCCTAATTGTTGTTAGTCCTTCATTCTTTTTTTAAAAAAAAAATTATTTATTTTTAGTTTTCAACATTCACTTTTATAAGATTGTGAGTTCTAAGTTTTTCCTCCTTCGTCCCCTTCCCCCTCCCCAAGACATCATGTAATCTGATATAGGCTATATGTGTACAATCATATTAAATATATTTCCACATTAGTCATGTCGTGAAAGAAGAATGAGAACAAAAGGGAAAAGCCACGAGAAAGAAAAAACAAACAAAAAGAGAGAGAGAATAGTATGCTTCAATCTGCATTCAGACTCCATAGCTCTTTCTCTGGATGGGGATGGCATTTTCCATCACGAGTCTTTTAGAATTGTCTTGGATCATTGTATTGGTGAAGAGAGCTAAGTTCACCAAAGTCAGTCATCGCGCAGCGTTGCTATTACTGCGTACAATATTCTCCTGGTTCTGCTAGTTTTACTTTGCATTAGTTTGTACAAGTCTTTCCAGGTTTTTCTGAAATCTGCCTGCTCATTCGTTTTTTACAGCACAATAGTATTCCATTACATTCATATACCACAATTTGTTCAGCCTCTCCCCAGTTGATGGAGATTATTGATTGAAGAAATGCAAATTAAAACAACTCTGAGGTAGTACATCACACCTATGAGATTGGCTAACATGACAAAACAGGAAAATGATAAATGTTGGAGAAGAAGTGGTAAAATTGGAAAATTGGTCCCCATTTTGAAGTTATCATTCATCCAGTTCTTTAGTATAGGATACCAGGGCTACACCATATGAAATAGTGTCTACTTGATGGAAGGCCAATTATTTTACAAGGAGAGGTGGGGATTCTGTTATATCTGATGGCTTTTACTTGTGCTGTTATTAGTGTGATTTCATGAGAGTTTCCTTTCTAACAAGGAAGATTTTGGGTAGGGGGATTCCAAAGAATGGGCAGAGTGGGGGTACCAGGCAAGAAGAGGTGACAATCAGAGATAAAACACAATGTTGCTATTACTGTGTACAATATTCTTCCAGTTCTGCTCACTTCACTCAGCATCAGTTCATATAAGTCTTTCTAGGTTTTTCTTAAATTCACCTGCTCATCATTTCTTATAGCACAATAGTGTTCCATTACATTCATATGCCACATTCACATTTGATCAGTCACACCCCAACTGAGGGGCATCCTCTCAATTTCCAATTCTTTGCCACCACAAAAAGAGCTGCTATAAATATTTTTGTACATGTGGGAACTTTTCCCTTTTTTATGATGTCTTTATGATACAGACCTAGAAATGGTATTGCTGGATCAAAGGGTATGCACAGTTTTATAGCCCTTTGGGCTCTCCAGAATGGGTGGATCAGTTCACAACTCCACCAACAATGCATTAGTGTTCCAATTTTCCCACATCTTCTTCAACATTTATCATTTTCCTGTTTTGTCATGTTAGCCAATCTCATAGGTGTGATGTGCTACCTCAGAGTTGTTTTAATTTGCATTTCTCCAATCAATAATGAGTAAGAACTTTTTTTATATGGCTATAGATAGCTTTGATTATTTCATCTAAAAACTGTTCATATCTTTTGATCATGTATCAATTGGGGAATGGCTTTTAATTTTATAAATTTCACTTAGTTCTCTATATGTTTGAGAAATGTTTCTCTTTATCAGGGAAACTTGCATCAAATTTTTTTCACAGTTACTATTGTTAACTGTATTTCCCTCCATCCTATTTCCTCCCGTTTATTCTATTCTCTCTCTTCTTTTACCCTGTCCTTCCTCAAAAGTGTTTTGCTTCTGACTACTCCTTCCCCCAATCTGCCCTCCTTTCTATCACACTCCCCTTTCTCTTATCCCGTTCCCCTCCTACTTTCCTGTAGGGTAAGACAGATTTTATACCCAATTAAGTGTGTATGTTATTCCTTCTTTGAGCCAATTCTGATGAGAGTAAGGTTCACTCACTCCTCCTTACCTCTCCCCTCTTCTCCTCCACTGTAAAAGTTTTTTCTTGCCTCTTATAGGTGAGATAATTTACCACATTCTACCTCTCCCTTTCCCTTTCTCCCAGTACATTCCTCTCTCACCCCTTAATTTTATTTTTTTGATATCATCCCTTCACATTCAACTCACACCTGTGCTCTCTGTCTATATATATTCCTTCTAACTGCCCTAATAATGAAAAAGTTTTTATGAGTTAGAAGTACCATCTCCCCATGTAAATGTAAATAAATGTAAATAGTTTAAAATTATTAAGTGCCTTATGATTTTCCTTTCCTGTTTATATTTCTATATTTCTCCTGAGTCTTGTATTTGAAAGTCAAATTTTCTATTGAGCTCTAGTCATTTTATCAAGAATGCTTGTAAGTTCTCTATTTCATTGAATATCCATTCCCACCCCCCCAAAGGGATTATACTCAGTTTTGCAGAGTAGGTGGTTCTTTGTTGTAATCCTAGTTCCTTTGCCCTCAGGAACATTACATTCCAAGCCCTCTGATCTTTTAATGTAGAAGCTGCTAAATCTTGTGTTATCCTGACTGTGGCTCCACAATACTTGAATTGTTTCTTTCTGGCTGCTTGCAATATTTTCTTCTGGGAGAGCTAGAATTTGACTAGAATATTCCTGGGAGTTTTCACTTTGGGATTTCTTTCAGGAGGTTTTCAGTGGATTAGTTCAATGTCTATTTTACCCTCTGATTCTAAAATAGTGGGGCAGTTTATCTTGATAATTTCTTGAAAGCTGATGTCTAGGCTCTTTTTTTTGATCACGGCTTTCAGGTGGTCAAATAATTTTTAAAATTATCTCTCCTGGATGTATTTTCCAAGTCAGTTTTTTTTTTTCCAATGACATATTTCACATTGTCTTCCACTTCTTCATACTTTTGGTTGTGTTTCATTGTTTCTTGATTTCTCATGAAGTCATTAGCTTCCATTTGCTCAATTCTAATTTTTAAGAAATTATTTTTCTTCAGTGAGCTTTTGTACCTCCTTTTCCATTTGGCCAATTCTACTTTTTAAGGAGTCTTTTCTTCAGTGAATTTCTGTGCCTCTTTTTCCATTTGGCCTAATCTGTTTTTTAAAGTGTTATATTTTAAGTTGTTATTTTCTTCACTTCTTTTGTGTCTTCTTTACCAAGCTGTTGACTCTTTTTTTCATGATTTTCTTGCATCACTCTCATTCTTCTTCCCAAGTTTCCCCCTACCTCTCTTACTTAATTTTCAAAATCCTTTTTGAGCTCTTCCATGGTCTGAGACCAATCCATATTTTTCTTGAAGGCTTTGGATGTTGTAGCTTTGACTTTGTTGTCTTCTTCTGAGTGTGTGTTTTGATCTTCCTTGTCACCACAGTAACTTTCCATGGTCAGAATTTTTTCTGTTGTTTGCTCATTTTCCCAGTCTATTACTTGACTTTTAGCTCTTTGCTAAAATGGGGCTCTGCTTCTAGAGTGGAGGACGCACTGTCCCAAGCTTCAGGAGTTTTGCACAGCTGTTTTCAGAGATACTTCTAGAGACCTGTAAATTTTCAGTTTTTCCAAGTGATATGGTCTGAGGAGACATGTGTTTACTACTCTCCTGGCCTGTGCTCTCATCTGAGTGAACACAAGCACTCTTTTCTGCCCGGGAACTGTGATGGGGGTCCCTGCTACACTGTGGCCACAATCTCTGGTGTGCTAGGCCTCTTCCCTGCCCTTGGCCTGCTACTCAGGACTGCTACCTGGATCTGAGTATGGGCAAAGCAACAGAGTCCTGCCAGCAAACAGACCCCTGTAATCTTCTGCCAAGCTGTTTGACCCCCTCGCCGTCTGTGGGCTGAGAGCTCTGGAACCAGCTGCTGAGTCAGTCACTCTCAAGGCCCGCTCCTAGTTTTCTAGGGTTGGGTTTGTGCTGGCACAGCCTGGGCTGGACAGTGCTCCACTCTCACCCAGGTGCAACAGACTTTTCCTGCCAACCTTCTAAGTTGTCGTTGGCTGGAAAATTATTTCACCCACACTTTTGTGGGTTCTGCTGCTCCAGAAATTGTTTTAGGGCATTATTTAAAGGTGTTCAGAGGGGTTTTTGGGGAGAGCTCAGGTGAGTTGCTGCCTTTTCTTTACTATCTTGGCTCCACCCTCCCCAAGTCTTCTTTAAAAACAAGTTCACAGATCTGAGGTTACACAACCTTGTACTGGATGATTTCCAGGGTCTTTTACAGCTCTGAATCTTAGAGTTTTATGAATATAAATTCTCTTCCATCTTTTTTCTCCTTTTTCTTTAGGGGATAATGAAGCTCATTGCTCCAGGGGCTCGATAAAAGGATGCTGGGTCTTTCCTTGGTCCAAGGATATTAAGGTTTTATTTGATAAATGCACTCCCCACATTCCTAACTGGCATGGGCATGGGTGGGCATACACACACACATTTAAGGAGGGTGCCCTGGGCCGCTGTCTCTGCACTTCCCACCTGGCTATATTCCTGGACTTCAA